GATGTAGCGTGGACGTTCAAAAAATAAATGTTGATGTAAAAGCTTAAAAAATATCTACATAGTATCTTTAATATAATCTATTAAGATACGTCTATATATTTAACATATACAAAGAAATTAGAAGCTACTTACAAAATTTGAATATTCCAATAAATAAGTGGTTATTCAATAATATTTAGAAGTATCAAATCAAAATTTAAGGATAAATAGATTTTAAAAATCCACATGGTATGGTGTGACTTTTTTGTGGTGTTGTATTTATTTAAATGAATATATTAATTATTATAAATAACATAGTTGGTTCAAGTATTTATGGTTATTCCAATTAAAATACAATAAATTATATATTAATAAATTAATACAAAAACGTAATTGGCACTGATATGTTGTTATTGTTGTATGTTGTTATTGTTGTATGTTGTTATTGTTGTATGTTGTTTTTCGTGCATATTTTTATGAACAGCCTGTGTAGCGCCAAACGAAATCTCCGCACCATTGTGGCCAACGTTAATTTCTTACGGGAGATAACAATAAAAAGAAACTATAATTTACTGGTTGCAGTAAAAGGTTCGCCGCGAAAGGTATTCTGATAAACATCGGTTTTCAAGAGCTCTCATCGGACATACAAGGGGGCCACTTTATTGGGAGAAAATTAATTTTATTTACTTTACGATGTAAGCGGCGGCGGGTTATATGTAGCCCAATTTATTATGTACACGTATTTTATACATATATTATACTTGTATGAGGCTCCCAGAATGACGAGTTTGTTGGTCCTATAGTCCAGTCGAAGCAACATATGGCTAAATAATAACGGGTTGAAATTTTCTGATTCTAATTAAATAGGTGTATATCGAAAATGCGTCCGGGTCACATAGATAAAAAAAGTCGTCAAGATTAATACATCCAAAGCTAATGAACGTCCACAAATATTCGTCGAGAGCGCATCTTCTTCCCCGTAACCCCACCCACTCTGGTGCTCTATCATAAAAAAAGCTCTTCTTTTACCAAATTCGTTTTCGTGTTAAAATTTTTGTGTGTTCAAAATGCTGGACTCCGTGGAAGTAACTACTTCCTCCTTTATTAGCCCTATATTATTTGAGCAAGGAGTCAAACTTAAAATACCAACAAAGACAAAGCTCTAAGCGGTCATCTGCGATATGCGACATGTCAATGTTGGTATGTCGGGCATGTTATGACTAATATCGCGTGCTAATACAAAGTGCTTCGAGAAATGGGTCCCTCGTGTTTTTCCCCTGAGTCACGCTAAAGGCTTTTCATACGAAAATGTTTGATTTATTTGTGAGACTCCTGTGACGTATGTACCGAGAAACATCTAAATTGAAGATAAGTACTTTGTACTGAAGCGTTCGATTGAAGTTTCTAATTTATTTCCGTCAGAAATCGACTCTAAATATTTTAGTTACTTATGAGCCAACTGTCAGGAATTTCAACATACATTAAAAAAACATATTTTTCTTAAAAAACTGTCTGTAGTTAACGCGAGTAGTATACATTTAACTTTAACGTTTTAAAACACGTTCTCCCCGTGACCACGGCTGTTGCAAAGCATCCGAAATGTCGGGCTGTAGTAATATAATCTCCAAATATAACTAATATATATCGAGTTTGAAACCGTTAAAGTGTTTTATAAATAACATATTTTTAGTTAAGTAACAAAGCGGTGTTTTTAAATAATATACATTCTCAAAAAATACTGTTAAAAGGTGATCATGTGCATATATAAAACGAACTTCAAGAATTACCACATTGAGGTTTCTCTTGTAAGTCTTCGGTCTAGACATCGGTTTAAGTGTCAATAATCTTTAATCCTTTGTTACATAAAAACAGTAGTAGTAGGTATAAATTATTTTAATAAAACAATAATCTTAGTAATATTTTATTTGTAAGCATAATTCTTACACCGGTGAGACTCAAAGCCTGAACCACAGCGTCCTATGCTTATAGAAATAAAAAAAGAAAAAAAGAAGTAGTCGTGTCGTTTTGTCAATTCGAATTGTCTGTCGTATATTATCGTATTTTTTTTTATTCTCTCATCATATTAATGAAAATTTATGTTAGGTCAAAATTCTTAGTTTTTGTCACGTGTCAAATTCCATAATTAATGTATGTACTATATCAGTGTCCCACGTCATTGCAAGGATTGTAGCAACAAAATATATTGTACTTTGTCGTGATATGAGGTAGCTAATGACGCGGGCTTGTCACTGTACAGTGACGTCCACAAGTGAAGTTTGATTTTATAAATGGGGCATTTATTATTTTGCAACATAGGTCATCAGTTTATAGGGCAGCATTACAGTTCACAGGTCGTGGGTTCGAGACCCGAGGTCTGAAATACTACTGTAATATGTTTCTGTACTAAGTCCTCGTTAATAATGTTTGATTTTTAGTGATAGTAAATCAATTAAGTACTTAAGTTGTATTATTTAAGTTTGTATCAACAATATACTTTCGATGAATTAAAAATGTAATCTCATAGTGTTTGTAAATTAGCTGTGACTTTAACCAATAAAGTATTAAAACACTTTTCCGTACGATTAAGGAAGTTCTTTATCTACCACGCATTACAGTCATACGACGTTTAAAAAGCTCTATTGTACAATATCGATGATGTATTTTTTCATAGGAATAGTCATTTCCAGAACGGTAATTGTGAACGTATCCCAAATGCATTTCCTACATGACTGTACACAATAGATTCAAATGATAACTGTGAGTGTACAGACATAAAATTTGGGGGCGCACCACTTAATGTGCCTACGAAAATGGTTCTTCATATTTCTTTGATAATAGTGCTAACTTGACTGTTTAAAGAGGATTATGTTTTTCAAAAACATAATGTGTTTTGGTAAATGAAAAGTTAGTAACAATTTTTTTGCGTTTTAAAAAGCGAAATGTACTTGTTGAATTATTTACAACTTATGTTGACTATGTGTATGTGTTTTAGATGCTTTGCAGCAGCCGTGGTCACGGGGGCCACCGTTAAAGTGTTTTATTTAAATGTAAACTACAGACAATACTTTATACACACTATATTTATGTTTAGATGTTTTGGGTTTGATTCTCAGTCGTGTAAGAATATCCTTCTGGGTTCATCTAGTTAAATATATTTGCTACAGCAAAACTGTTAACGCGTCCCAAAAATGGTGGCGAAAAAGTGGAGTCCATTTCTAGTTAAAACTTAAAATATTTCAAATAACTGTTTTATCAAATACTGTCTGTAGTTTACGCGAGTATTACACATTTGTATAAAACACTTAACCGGTTTAAAATATTTTTAACTACGCTCCGACGTTTCAGATGCTTTAAAAAATCTAAACAAAAACTCAGTGGCTTATACAAGATAAAATATTAATAGAAACTCATAACAAAGCAAGAACCAATTAATAGATAATTAATCTTGACTAATTGATCATATGTGTTAACTAGTACTGTGCTTCGAATCTGTACATGTGTTCAAAGTAAACTCTCAAACACCCTTCTTTAATTCACCACTCGTTTAAAAGACACGCCTAGTTCGGGAAAAATAATTAAAAATAATTAACGCTTTCACTTAAGCATAAATCATAACTGCCTTTTAACTGTACAAGCAATCTTTAAAATACTTTTGGACGATAAGATACATCATGACTGCGTGCGTTTCCATAACCGAACGGGACGAGATTCGTTTAAGCTATTTTTGGTTTTACGCAGTTCAAAAATCTTATCGCTTTTGAAGTTTGTAATACCATAAATCAATAATAAAAAAATATGTTGTATGAATTAAAACTGATTTAACGATCGAATTAAATTTTTATAATGATTATTATTAGTTATTGGTTATTATCAATGCGTTATTTATACTAATAATTTCAGACTATAGAAATTCACTATTAACACTAGTTCTACTAGAAATTCAAATGTATACCCAGAATTCTTATAAATTCAGCGTATTTCGACAATGTCTGAAAATCACACCTTTTGTTTTTAAAATTAATAATACTAACTTATTTATGTAGCAAGAGAACATTATTTCAAGTCATCAATAAGTTGATGTAAAGTCTAACAATATGATTATTTTTCTAATTTGAAATTCTTGTTTTTAAAGTTCCTGCGAAGCTTTTGACGCTAAACCCGTCACGTTGAGTAACAGTGGACACGCGCCAACTACACTGTGCGCATGCACATATTATCCATCAAATTTCTGCCGTTACGAAATTGAAACGGCGCACGATGCCTCCTGGACATAAAATTAAGTTATTGCCTCTGATTTTTCACTCAGGCTTAATTCAGAACGGAGATATCGATCTTATCGGCTTAATACGTCAAATATGTTCCAGATTATTTAATGATAGTACTTGATATTCGTTTATTCTTTATTTATGAGTCTTAAAGCATTGTTATGCACACGGCTTTACTCGATAATTTATGAATGATTATGTACAAAATACAGAGAAAAACTGTAAAATCATGCTCAATCTTTTCACAATTCACACACACAAAAAAGCAAACGCATCCATATTATTGCATGAAAGTACAAGTATTTTGTTCTTGTCTTTACGCGTTAAATAATACAGAGGTAGTGTATTATTTAACGCGTAAAGTACCTATATAGTAGGATGTTTTGGAATATCCAAAAGATGTTGTAAAAAATTAAAGACTATAATGTTTTTGATACTAAGCATCTTTACATTTTCTTTAAAAGAAATCGCTTACTTCCTTTATTCTATTGTTTTATACGCTTCAGAGATAACAGTTTTTATTTAAATAAAACACTTTAACGGTTTAAAACGCGATATACGGGGAGACCTCCCTGTGACCACGGCTGCTGCAAAGCATCCGAAACGTCGGGCCGAAATTAAAAATCAATTTCAAATAAGTTTAACTAATATATCGCGTTTTAAACCGCAAAGTGTTTTATTGAAATGTGTACTACTCGTGTAAACTATAGACAGTATTTAACATTTTTTATAAAAAAAGTTTTGTCTTCTTTCCAGACAACAACGTGGACACCGCCCATCGCCAGATTGACCAGAAATCCAATCAATGGTTTGGTGCGACCCTCACAAGCACAGGCAGAAATGGACCTATAGTGGTAAGTAATTTATTATTATAATTAGTGTAATTTTATCAAAGATAACTTGAAAGAGGATTCTTTGTGTTATGCGCAAGAGCGCAAATAATATAGGAATAATTAAGATTGAAGATAGAAATTGCAGATTAAATTTGGGAAATAATTCGGATATATAATATGGTGTTATAAATTTCAACAAACTATATAATTATCTTATATATACATATATATATATATAATTTAAATTATATAAAATAATTTTATGAAACATATCATTGATATAAACCATTTTTTTTCTTACGGTATAGTGTTAACTGTCTTCATCGTAAAATAATGTTGCAATTATCAAATTCATTTTTGATATTACCAAGTTGTGCTCCAACATTTTTTTTGCATTTTCCTGGGTTATGAACCTATTATCTCTCGTACAAAAATACACATTGAAAACCAATCATTATATGTTAGCTTTAATTGAAGTATCACAATCAAGACTTGGATACCTAATAATGGACTGGTTCTTTATCGCTCGCGAAAGACAATGGTCGCCATTGTTTTAAATCAATGGCATTTGCGAAGACGGTGACCCCATAAGGGTGACCTATAAAGTTTATGGGACGACTGCACCCTTCCTGCTACACCCAAGCTGGTAATAGACTTGTCATTTAGTTGTTTTATATGTGAAGAATATGGGCCAGAGATTTGGGGCAAGGGTAGTCTTTTTGAAGGGAATAGTGATTTTGGCCGCCAGTCAAACGAAGTGGCTAAAAATACAATCAGACTTTTTATTCATATTATTATGATCTTGTATATTCAAATTTACAGATGAACATTTATTTAAAGATTAAGACGATCTTTGCAGTTTATCTGTCGATGACATAAAGTATGTGCTATGTGCTATTGAATTATCTATCAAGATTGTTTTTCCTGTCAACTTGAAGTCACTCAAAGGAGTCCTTTTATTTAAAATATGATAAGTAGGTTAGGCACCAATATAAAACATACATACTAAAATGATTACCCTTAGTTTTGTCATCATCTTAATAAAGGCCTTATCTCACATACAAATCTTATCAGCGACCCCACATTGTTCTTAGGTGTTATAGATTCTCCCTTCAAATGCAACATTTGTATGTCTTCTTCATTTGTAAGCACAGTTAGCATCATGTAGCGAGCTTATAATGAAACTCTCTCTTCGCCGTAAGAAATAAAACTATTTTAAGTTGTCATCATGGCGACCTTTCGGACAACTCATCAAAAGCGCCATTAATCTGTTACGTAATAGTTAACCAGGTCAACTGCGAGGAAATGGGGTTGGACTTACACCTTTTACGACGTGAACGTCCACGTTATAACCAGGTTTTATGGGTCGAGATTTCATAGGAAAAACTTAGAATGACAAAGTTGTTTTTCGTATTGTATAAAATTATTTTAAGTGGGCTAAAGGATTTAGGAATGTTAAATGTCCATATAGACTGTCTTTACAAAAAATAATATAAAATTAATTAACTCCAACACAACGCAGTTACTAACATAGTAACAATAAATCGTTATTCTTTTCGAGCTTCAATTATTTGACTGTTCAAATTCTTGTGTTGTTAATCTAATATAAATATTAAATTAGCCCTTAGTTAATTCCTTGGAGACTTAAAGCAGTATACTTTAAGCGGTACGCGGGAGATGTTAATTTATCTGTTATATTGCCTGAAGCTGAAATGAAAGTGTGAAAAAAAAACGGGGAAGTTTTAGTCTTTCTATCTTACGCTGCAAAAATGGTTTAAGATACACAAAAATACGTATGAGATTGATTCCTCATATCATTGTTTTTCGGGCTGTTCAGCTGACGTGAGCGAGAGGAGGTTCTCGACGTTTCGCCATGACGAGCGGATCATCAGTTAGAAGTTAGCTCTTCAATTGCTCGCAGAATAAAGGCGAACAGCCCGAAAAACAATGATATGCTGAACGATGGCCTTACACAATTACTGATTTATTCCTTTTTAAATGATCTAAATATATGTCTGCGACGGTATATGTCTATCTTTTAAGATTGTCTTGCAACAGAGAGGAGGTTTGCAAAAACGAATTTTGATAGCCAAAATAACTATTCTTCGCGGATCATAGATATAATAAAATTACCTTAAATAGGGGAGACAGGGCTCGAATAACCTGTCAGTACAAAAGGCACTTATCGGGCAACGAGGAAAATTAGTAGAAATCGCGACATGCTTATTCATACAGTCGGCTCGTTTTCAATGCTCGGCTTTTTGCATTCCCCTCGATCGCTCAGGCTCCGGACACTTTTTGCCAGGTTGCCTTATGGGGAAGGAATTTTTATTGGGGTATGCCGAATTAGTGCAAAAACGGTGCCTTCTCAGGCTGTTGTTGCAATTTGTTTAGTAGTTTTATTCCATTTGCAATCAACGCGTGTGGAATGCCTGATGCCTTGTCTGTTACAGGCTGTTTCGAAATTTTCTTAATCGGGATTGCTTAGGCGCATTTGTAAAGATCATTCTATCTAATAGAGAGAGCTCTATAAATCTAATGTAAGCTAATAGAGCTATTATATCGTGATCTTATCTTTCCCTTGAAGTAACTAAATAGATAAAATATTCAAGTATGATGAAGAAGGAAATAAAAAAAAAGTAAGGTGTAAGGGTAGGAAATCTTCTAACAATTGCTTGGCTCCAATTTTCAGATTTGAGTCTTTTGAATTTATTTAGTGACTAGTGTATTATACATTAAAATAAAATGTAACTAATATAAATCGCGTTTTAAACCGTTAAAGTGTAAATACTCTCTGTAGTTTACGCGAGTAGTACATATTTAAATAAAACACTTTAACGGTTTAAAACGCGATATATTTTAGGATAATTTGTTTGAAAACTATTTTAACGGCGTTTAGAATGCTTTGCAGCAGCCATGGTCACGGGGAGGACTAAAGATGGAGGATGTCTTTGATGTTAGAGTGTTTTTTTTTTAAATTTGTACTACTGGCGTAATCTACAGACAGTATTTAATTAACAAGAGTACATAACCCTGATAGTTTTAAATACTGTTTGTAGTTTACGCGGGTAGTTGGATTATATAGTGGGGAGACAGTCTCCCCGTGACCACGGCTGCTGCACCGAAACGTCGGGCCGATAAAATACATTTTAAATACGCGTTTTAAACCGTTACAGTGTTTTATTTAAATTTGATCATTTTGTATGTTTCAATACATTTTAAAAAGAAGGTTAAATTGTAAATATAGCTTAACTTTAGTGTGAAATAATGAATAACTTATTTCTTTAGAACTTACGGACTTTTAAACCTACGCTGCAACAACGTATCAGAAACTTTGCAACCCCCTGTAGTGACAATGCAGTATAGACTTATAATTGTTAGTCGATCGGGTTTTTGTAGCAATCGTTTATTTATAACAAATTGCTCAAGATCAGCTAAACTCGCTGTTTGTAGTCGCCACACGCGGTTACCACACTTTAATATTTCATTGCCTTCTCGTGAACGATTTACAAAGTAACAATAAATAATGTAAGTTTTATAAGCTGTCTTTGATAGTCTAGTCGTAGTATACATTAAATAAAACGGTTTGAAACTTAGTTAAAGTCTATTAATATACGAGTGTTTATTAAAAACGATTTCTATCGTTATTCGATAAGTAATGTTCAAAATTAAACTTCTACTACTACAAGTGTGTATTTTAGTTATTGTCTGTATCGTTATCACGGCTGTTGCACAGCGTCGGGTTATAGTCGAAATAAATAAAAATACGATAACAAATATATTTCGTGATCTAAACCGTTAGAAAAGTTATTTAAATCTTGCGAATTTGCTGTTCTTGTCGAATTCACATTCATTTCTCTCAGTAAGACTGGGATCTTCTATGGCGTCAGCGATCTGTGGTAGCCTTATACGACATGTACGACATACAACATATTTAAAAAGGTTATACTATTCCTTAGAGTCTAATAATTTTTTTTAGACTCGCTCTGCTGAGGTCTCCTTTGTACAGTCACTTGTAGTTAACTATAATGTTTTCTAGAAATATGTAGGGTAAACAAACACACACTTTTTCACATAGCGCCATATCAGTGACGGCGACACGTCGATTTTAATTGCAAATATCGCGCGATAAATAGTTAGATATAGAATCACATCCGTTGCGTTTAACGCAGTTGCCACTTAGCCAGTACTGGGAAAACTATGACGTCTGTGGAGTCGGTAATATTAAAAAATATATATTTTATTTTAATATTATCTGTAGTTTACGCGAGTACTGCACATTTAAATAAAACACCTTAACGGTTAAAACGCGAAGTTTATTAGTTAAACTTAATGCAAAGCATCCAAAACATCGGGCACGAAATTAATTTGTAAATAAGTGTCACTAATATTCTTTGTGTTTTAAACCGTTGAAGTGTGTTATTAAAATATTTTATTTAACTTAATAAAACACGTTTAACAGTTCGAAACACTTATTTTCAAACTGGTTAATATAATATCTAAACAAGATGTGCTGTCGACTTATTTTGGCTTTGGATAATTGGAATTATCGTTACGTAAAACTTAATTCAAATTTGCCATTCCATGGTAGGTTTAAAGTTATTTGTATAACAATATTAGTGCCTTCAGCACAAATTAAAATGCAGGAGAAAATAATTTTTATATTAAAAGCGACGTTCTATAAAACTAAACAGTACCACAGTTGATGAATGATAAGTCAAGCATGCTGAATGATAAGCGTCGGGTCTTATAAGGCAACGACAGATCGGTGACGCGATAGACGTTCTCAGTACCTGTATTGTTTACCTAACTTGTTAGAATGACCATTTCTAAGTACCGATTAAATCTGTGAATCGAACTCACGACCACTTTATACTTAAATTACTATATTTATTACGTCACATACCATTGTTAAAAGATTATAATTCTCAAATACCTTTTTGGATTAATACAGTTGCCTTCTAAATTTTTGATATAAAATAGTTTAAATCAGTTACTATGATTAAAAAATAAATTCAAAT